GCCCCATCCCAACCACCCCTCTAAGCTGCTAAGGCAGCCATATGGGAGTATACATGTAGCACCCTCCTAGATAGGTGCTAGGTTTAGATAGATTTAGTATGTGTTTGATAGATACATTTAGTTGCCTCACAGTAGTCAGAGTGGCTCTGATTGTTTGGTTAAAGCATAATTTGCTCACTATGTTCAGTGAAGCTGCATTCTGCTCAGTGTGTTCAGTTGCTGCCAGCCTGATAGCTCCCTCTGCATCTAGAGAGCTTGAAAAGTTTCTGAATGATATTTGTGGAGCTATGCAGATGGCGGCATGAATATTGATACAGCCCTGGTCTATCCATGAGAGAGAGACTCTGATGGAATGCTGGGTAACTGTATATATTCAGTGACCACACTGAGCTCTGGGTTTTTTCCTGGAAAGGACTAGTCCAGCCTTGAGGGGGCATGCTGCCCTTCCAGGCAATGCTGCTATGTATGCTGTTGTGAGGCCTCAGGTGGGTGACCTGAGGACCTGAATGAGGAGACATGGGTAGTACTAGGAGCTGGCTGAAGGTTTGGTCTGGTATCATGGAGGAAGGCAACCACCTGTCCTTGGGTCTTGTGAATATAGACACTCCTGAAGGATCTTAGAGACTTGTGCTGCCAATACCCATCTGGTGCTAGGGAGTCAGCTGTGGATCTAGTTAAAGGGAACACCGGCTGGTATCTTGAAGAGCTTTGTCCATCTAATCTTCTACTTGAAGGGGTTCTGCTCTTGTGGCTCTAAGAAAGACATTAATAGTTAACTACTACTACTACCTTACAGCTGAAGTCTACTGTTTGCTACAAGCACAGACTTTATTATAGCTTGTTCTGAAGAATATCTAAAGTCTTCAAGTGTACACAGTTATTGTTTTTGGAGTAACCCACCTAATTCTCTCAACCCTATCCAAGTTCTCCAAAAATAAAAACAACAAAAACAACACTCCTATACTGGTCATTGAAGAAATGTGTGAATGAGCCTGTGTGCCTGGCTGACGGGCAAAGCTGGTGGAGAAGACCTGGACAGTATTCTTGCAGCTCCTACAGGAGTAGCGCTTCATACACTAGATACAGCCATGATATTTTGGAATACGTTGCTGTAAAAAGGATTCTTTCTATCACGTTTGGTTGTAAATGGGGTTGCGTGTGGCCACACTGCAACTGTCCCACTACTGCGTGCAGTAGAGTGCAGTGGTGTGGACTTTTAGATGTTAAAGAAAGGCAAAGAGGAGGTGAAAAACTGCTTCCTCACTGCCTATCAGGCACCTTCTGAAAAGTGAGATTTCTTCAAAACTGTCTAAGTTGACCTTCAAAGTTTCCAGGTGTTGCAAATACACAAAAGATTGAATGTATTTTCTAGATGAGAAGCTCCTGATTTGCAATAGATATACATTTGATTTTGTCATTAATTTGCATGATAAACGCTCCTCTGTATGTCATGAATGTACTCCAGGTGTAAAGAAAAAAACTGACCAGCATGTATTAAAAAAAAAGCTTTCACTGCAATACTCACCTTTAAGTCGACTCTATCCTCTGCTACTAGTTAACAGTCTCCAGGATGAATGACATCTAGCCCTGTTAAACCCATTTCCTGTAAGCCTGGCTGTCAGGGACACACCCCCTGATGATATCAATGGTCCGGTCAGAAGACTATTATTATACAGTATTTATAAAGCGCCAATAGTTCGCTCAGCGCTGTACATTACAATGGGGGACAGAACAATAACAATACAATACAACGCAAAACATGAGGGGATCGAGGGCCCTGCTCTTTCGAGCTTACAATCTAGGAGTAGATTAAAGAAATGTACATGAATTTTTTTAGTTGTTGGAGGGTCCTCTGGGAGGGTGTTTATATAATGTGGAGATGGGGTTATTTGTACAATAAAAATTTTACATAAGGTAAAAAGGTTAAATATTTAAATACACTTTATAAAATAGAAAAAATTAAATTGAAGAAAAACTGTTAAAAATTTTAAAGCAAAATTCTAGACATGTAGATGATGAGGATGGTCACACTGGTGATGATGAATGTCTACAATATAGCTTTAAAATTGGCCTATGCAACTTAAACATCATCATTAGTTTGTCCATATATACACATTTAAAAACATTTTTATAGTGAGCTGCAGAGTGGAAACCCGTCAACCTTGACCAAAATCTGAACTCTAAATGTAAAAGATTAAAGAAGGGACGTAATCTTTAGGGAACAGCTAAAATACAAGAGACAATAGAAATTGTACAGCTCCTGTCTTGCAGTTATAAAACTTCACAGGCTGTTAAAAAAAATGACCTGAATGTTCTTCAAGGATAAAGGAAAAAAATATATTTAGATGATCTATGGCCACATGAGCAAAGATGAAAAGTTCCTTTTTCTTTTTAGACCAAAGTTGCCGAATCTGTGGAAAATCAGCCCTAGACATAGCCTCATCTGCAAGATGTAAAGCCAAAGTATTTATCTGTCTTTGTTTGGCTCAGAGTTACAATTTGGTATGTCTAGCATGAAGGACCATAAACATAAGTCTGAAATATCTGTGAACTATATGGCCGTCTATAAAGTTTTTTGATGTTTTTTTGCTGTTCAGTAACTGATACAAGACTGGCCTCACAGTTTTTTTTTCATCTCATGTGCAAACAATGATGCACAATGTAATTTCAAGAAACATTAGGCTGAATTCACAAAACTTTAACGCAAAAATGTGGGTCTTTTTTATTTTATTCATGTGACTGTATTTTCTCCGTTAAAAAAAAAAAGATTCCTATACCAATGTGCTCGCTTTGTGAACTGGACTTTCTGTGTTTAAAAAAATGCTCTGCATGTATAAAGTGTAGGTACCAAGAGGTGCCTGCATGTAGCTACAGCAATCTCCAAAATTTTGAGCTGTTCCAAAAGTAAAGGGGCTTGGCATTTCCTTGTAGTCACAAAGCTTGCTTGCCACTTCCTGCCTCCTGCACATTCCTATTGGTCAGAGAAACAGCTCCACATAGTGTTGGGCCCCTGTGCAAGACCAATTTTTGAGCCCCCCTAGAAGTGAACAGTGTCCAGATCTACAGTATGTGTCAATAGGAAGGGTCCAAGCACATCTAGTATAAATGGGCCCCTAAGCCCCAAAGGGTGTGGGCAAAGCAAGTGCTTTTTGTAGTGGTATGCAAGGAAGTGGACAGTGGGGTTCATTGTGTGGAAAGGTGAGGGCTATGAGGATGCAAAAGTCAGAGCTGAGGAGGGGTGCAAAACTAAGGAGCTATAGAACCGGGCTTTAAAGCCTAGCTTTGCGGGGAGGTTGCAGAGATAAGCTATGAAATAAGGATGCAGAGGTGAATTGTGGTCACTGAGTGGGGAAGTGAGTTGTGGACAGGGGCGGACTGACAACTCATGGGGCCCCCGGGCAATAGGGGATTATGGGGCCCTTGTGTCCTTGCCCAAACTCAAAAAGCCTATGAAAAAGGTACCAGGGGAATCTCATGGGGCCCCCTACTGACCCCAGACCCTCGGGCAGTGCCCGAGTTTCCAAATGGTCAGTCCGCCCCTGGTTGTGGATGAAAGGGGGGTTCAGAGGTGAACTGTGGACAGGAATGCAGAGCTGAGTTGTGGACAGGTGGTACAGAGGTGAGTTGTGGACAGGCGGTACAGAGGTAAGTTGTGGACAGGCGGTAGAGGTGAATTGCAGATGGGTGGAGATGCAGAGGTGCGTTGCGGACAGGGGGTGCAGAGGTGAGTAAGGGACAAGTGTGTGGTGCAAAGGTGAATTGCAGATAGGGGGTGCAGAGGTAAGCTGTTATTAGGGAGTGCAGAGGTGAGTTCTGGATGGTAGGTTTAGAGGTGAGTTGTAATGAGAGGTGTAGAGGTGAGTTGCAGACAGGGGGTGCACAACTGAGATGCAGACAGGGGTGCAGAAGTGAGTTGTGAAGGGGGGCAAATAGATCAGCTTAGGTAGTTGTGGACAAGGGTGCATAGATGAATTGTGGATGGTGGTGGTGCAGAGGTGAGCTTTGGACAGGGGTGCACAGGTAAATTTATAACAGGAGGGGGGGGGGCAGTGGTGATTTGTAGACAGTGAGGTGCAGAGGTTGACAGTGCCCCTTTAACACCTGCCCATTGCTACTGCAGTAACATACTTTCTGTCTTTGGGAGACAACACTTACTCAATGTACTGTACCTATGGAGGAGCAGCATTGTCACCCCAGGAGAAGGGGTGTTGGGACTACAGAACACATTCCCTATTCTCATCTTCATAATATAGTGGGAGGGGTTCAGTAGTTCGGACAGAGAACTGGGGACAGTGTACCTAACAGCAATTACAAAGCACAGAGCCACTCTTTGCATTTTGCCTGTAAACGGCAATTCTTCCACTTATTGAACAAATGTAACAAAACACTTTTAATGGCATATTCAATAGACCAAAAGGGAGCAAACAAAAAGGTTCATTATAGGGATTACATACCCCTTAAATCAAGCGATAACATATTCTTTGCCTAAGGCATTTGTCCTTTTATCTGGGGTTGTCACAAAGTCTTATGGGGTTATCAAGAAACCCTAAAAGATCTGTCTACCTAATCTTAGTTTCAGATAATTGACAGCCTTTGGAATCACCACATCCTTATTTCTCTTTGGGACTCCAGCGGCACAATATTGACATCCAAATTCCCAGCTCCACTCTCCTTCCAGAGCCATCACATAAGACTAATATTCTACATGATGGATTTCTTCATCCATTCTTCATTATGGGTGTTGCAAGAGAAGTGAGACTTCCCTGTCTGCAGCAGAGTGAGACCACCTATGTTTGAAAATATATAGACCTTGCCACTGGAGTCCAAGGGAGACACAAGAAAGCTGAGTGGGTCGTTAGCATCCACCATAACTAAAAATTAATTTTCAGGTTGACCAAAAAATGAAAAGGCCGTCTCCATTAATGGTCTATATAGGACAGATAATCTGTTAACTTTTTTTTTCATAAGGACTAATTTTGTTGGTGTGTTTCTGTTTACAGTCATGGGACAACCTATGAAAATGACAGTCACAGCACACCCATGTTGTACAGCTGCGGTGGTCAGTATCGGATACACACACATGGTGTGTTCAGAGGAATACAAGTAAGCATAGTACTACTAACTGTTCTAAAAATACAGAGGCAAGTTTTGGGGTTCCTTCACAATTTGAAGACTGGCAATGCAATGTACCATTTTTGGAATGCATCGCACCACAACTCACAATATATGCATTGTGGTGTGCAACAGCACAGGTGTGGTGCCAACTACTATATTTGTATGTTGGGGATGCTGTGCTCTAATGTGTGTTATAGTAGCATTTGGTAAAACCCAGATTACCAAAACATATAGGTATAAATCCATGCTTAACATGCATGCAAATACAAGATCTGGTTTTCAGTATGTTAGGCATCATGCCTTACGTTTACAGATGAATTGCAGGAATGGCAATTTTAACATAGGTACATAGATCCAGCTTGGACTAATGTAAGTATGTATGTGCCATACCTATAGGATCCCAGTGGAAGCTGGAAATCACTATAGCAGACACCGCTGCTGCAGTGATCCCCTCGGTATAGGCGCCATTCAGGGAACACTTTGCATTGTCTTAATGAATGCAAAGGCTTTCTTTGATTGGATAAGATGGAGTGGCAATCTCACAATCTCCACTTTGATCAATCAGAAAACACTTTGCATTCATTGAGAAATTGAAAAATGTTCTCTGAATGGTGCCTGCACTAAGGCAGTGACTGCCTTTGTTCAGAAAACAGAAGAGCAGAGACTTGGAAGCTAGTATAAGTCACTGTAGTACCAGTGCATATTGCAGTGATTTTCAGCTTTCAAGGGGATCCCAAAGGTATGGCACATAATTATTTAAAATGGTCCATGCAATCTATATAAAAATTGCCATACCTGGAATTGAAGGTACAGAGTTGCTCTGGCCGGCTCAGTACATTGTGTCTGTGATTGGAGCCATCTAATGACAGCTCAAATCATAGCCATTACACAACCCCCTGTGTGATTTCTGCAGTGACATTTATAAATAGCTCTTCAGAATTACACATCCACCTCTCTAGTGTTTTTTATACAATCCAATGGTTAAAAGGTGGTTAAGCAAATCACTTTTGTCTTCTGTTCCAAATATTATTTACCTGGAGTTCATACCAGTAAAATCATTTCCTAAGGCTACATCCACATGGCCGAATAGCACCAGCCAGGGTTGGCTGTTTGTAAATGTGACCTGCACATGCTGCACAAATCAATGGCCAGCAGCGCTGCTGTTCTCATGTAATTACTCATGCAAGTGGTTACGTGTGCATAAAACCTTGGACCATCCTTGGATGCACACTATTCATCCAGGGTCTGCGATTCTCTGGAATTCTGGCCTCACACTAACCACAGCTATTCAGCCAGCTTTTATGTGGCCATAGCAGAGTGTTGCTACATTCAGAGGCATCTGAATGCAGCAAACTATCCACAGATATGTGCCCATGTGAATGTAGCCTAAGCTACCACCTTGAAGTTAGCATCAGTATTGTCAGCCTGTTATGTGAGCTCCTTCAGTGGCCATTGGGCTGTCTGTCTGATCATAGATCTGATAAACAGCTTAATGGCCAACTGAAGCAATGCACAATACAGGCTGACAATGCTGATGCTTGTGGTGAGACAGCAGCTCAATGTTGTCAGCCTGAAACCGGAAGTGCTGTCAATTGCAGGATCTCCAGGTAAGAAATTTTGCAACAGAATCACAAAACAAATTGTTTAAAGTGATTGTAAAGCTTAACATTATTTTTATTAAATTAATAAACATGCTATACTTACCTGCTCTGTGCAATGGTATTGCACAGAGTGGCCCCTGAAGCTCCCCTTCTCAACCTCCTCTTCTCAGGTCCCCCGGCGGTGCTCTGGGCTCCTCCTCTTCTTGGTGTGCCACCAGAGGAAGCTGCTTTCCAAGACAGGCTGTGTGCATCTATTGACACATACAGCACAACTCAGCCCTGCCCCTTGCTCTGCTCACAGGATTTGAATGACAGCAGCAGGAGCCCCCGCTGCTGCCTCTGTGAGCAAAGAGAGACGAGTGAGCTGCTGCAGTCGGGCACAGCGCTGGATCGAAATCAGGCTCAGGTACATATAAAGGGGGCTGAGGGAGCAATACCAAATACAGGGACATTTTTTAACTTTACTGCAGGTCTTCAGCCTTTAGAACCACTCTAAGAAAAGTGTACACATTGAGACATAATGGCAATCACACTGAAAAATAGATATTGGGTTTACATATACTTATTATCTGGGAAGAATTTTTTGAGTTTACACAGCTCCAGTGTTTGGTAGATGGGATCAGCAATTACTAATTGGTTCCATTTGTCTAACATTACGTTTTAATGCGCCAACATTATCAGGGGCGGACTGACAACTCATGCGGCCCCCGGGCAATAGGGGATCAAGGGGCCCCTGTGTCCTTGTCCAAACTCAACAAAGCCTATGAAAAATAGATATTGGGTTTACATATACTTATTATCTGGGAAGAATTTTTTGAGTTTACACAGCTCCAGTGTTTGGTAGATGGGATCAGCAATTACTTATTGGTTCCATTAGTCTAAAATGACGTTTTAATGTGCCAACATTATTATCAGGGGGGAGGACTGACAGCTCATGGGGCCCCCGGGCAATAGGGCATCAAGGGGCCCCTGTGTCCTTGCCCAAACTCAAAAAAGCCTATGAAAAAGGTACCAGGGGCATCTCATGGGACCCCCTACTGACCCCGGGCCCTCGGGCAGTGCCCGAGTTTCCAAATGGTCAGTCCGCCCCTGTTTATTATTATTGTTAATAATCAAATTGTGCAGAGCAGTGTACGGTCCTGGGTCCATTGTGTTGTGTGCTGGACACAGAGGTTATCTACTACAATGTAACACTTGCAGGGACATTTCTGGTCCTTGCTAGATCAGCTGCTTTATTTGTTCAATTTTCCAGCCTGAGATACAATATTTCAGATCAGTTTGTTCTGCACAGAACAGACAGATGATGTCCTCCACACAACTGACCCCTTTGTTCCTCACCTTCTCTATTATAGGCCTACCACTAGGAATTGCAACAAAATCTTTCCATTTGTAAGATCTTCTATTTTGTTGAACTGAGCTGCTCTGCAAATGACACAGAATACATGAATTAGTGGATAAATATGGATTTATATTTACACAAAAAGGTTGAAAAAAGAAAAAAAAATAGAAAAAGGGTCAGAAATATTTTTTTCAGCTGTCAGTATACTATGTTTCTAGATGCAAGCCCTAACTATGTGGCATTTAGGTTGTTAAAGCACAGAGTTCCATATTTAATGCTATTAAGAAAAATGAAATACTTGTTTTCACCTCTTTTCATCATTTGCTGCATCACACTGATCTCCAGAAGCTTCTTTGTAGCCACTTCATGCCTTTATGCATACACTCCAGCAATGGCTGCATGGTGGGTTTTCTGAGGCTGACAACAATGAGCCATACAGTGTGCCGATGTAATGTGTGGTGAAATGGCCATTTCCAGACTCCATCCTAAGCCCGTGTGACAGCACAAGAGCTCAACTGGGAGACAGAGAAGTGCCTAAAAAAAGAGCTTGGTGGTGGGATCACCAGGTATTATTTTGATGAAAGCTGCAGTTTTCCATATACTGAAAATTACATTAGCATCCTAAACTTTATATGAGATTTAGTGGTTGGGTTTACCTCATATGGCCTCCTCACACCTTTTCAAACACCTCTGAAAAGCTATCACAGCAATTAGGCCGCACATTTAAATAAAGCCAAAAACTGTGAAAACACTAACAGCATTTATACATATGGTTCCCTTCTTCTTATTAGGATGTTAGACGTGTTCCTGGTGTGACCCCAGCTATAGTCAGATCATCAACAGAAACCAATGAAAAGCGGCCTTTTATGTGTGCGTATCCAGGATGCAACAAAAGATACTTCAAACTGTCCCATCTGCAGATGCATAGTAGAAAGCACACAGGTAAGATAAACATGTATCAGTATCGTCATCCAATGTTGTGTCTCTCAGAATCAACTGTAGCTATTCATCCACAAATACATTTGAAGAAGACCCATATTACCATACTAATTATTACCAAAATTAGAGGTCATCACATGGATCAAAGCCTCCCTCTGTACTAGGGCCTGAAATTCCACTGTGTTGGAGTTTCATTCTTAAGATGACCATATGCTAGCAGAATTTCATTGGAAAATGTTGGTTTTATGCATGTTTGTTTGTTTTTCTAATGGATAGTGGGTTCAAATTGACATTCCTTTTTGTTCACAGTGATGAAAAAATTCAAAGGAGCAGGATGGAAAAATTCTTTTGAACAAGCAAATTTCTAACAGTGAATGCGGTTTTCATTTGGGAAAGTCCATTCACTCCAAAATTGAATGTTAAAAGCTAAAGTTTTTAAGCACGTTTGAACAACATTCATGTCAACGAATGTACTTATTAGAATTTTCATTTGAATGTTCATATGCATGTTTGTTCAGAAATCTACTAATTTTAGTAACTGCCACCCACTTCCCCAATCCTTGTTAATGGTGTATTAACTTTAGATAGAGGGAGAATGAGTTAGAATCTCTGGTGGCCTTTATTGCTGCTTTTGTATCCTTTGGGTAAATGTTTTCAATAATTTCTGTGTGGCCATCAAAACAAGAAGTGAGCTAAATCTCTTCAAGATGGAATTGAGCAAAATCTTCTCAATGAAAACAGAGACAGTAATAAATTCTGACTTTAAGGGGGTAAAGGAGAGGACATTACACATCTTCAGCTAGATCCCCGGAGAACACGGGAGAGCCAGAATGCCATGAGAAGATACTCTTGAAATGGACTGGAGAGTCTTTTGATGAGAGTCTGCTCTATATTTCCCAGGACAGAACCTCATGGTATGTGATGTAGAAAAATCTCCCTAACCTGGAACTCTCCAATAGGGACAGAGGCAGCAAGAAAACATTTGCTAAAACAGATTGGGAAAGAAGCCGAGAACTTCTCTCAAATGCTTTTTTTTTTCCCAAATGGGAAGATCTACTTGTTGGGTCACCAGAACCAAGAGTAAGGTGAAATTTCCCCAAAAGGGACACAGAAAGATAGGAAAAGCCTACCAAGGTTCTAACCCTTCCTAATGCTAATTTGTTCTGGATGAGCTTTTAAATGTGCTATGTCTTATTTTAGGAAAGGACAGATCATTCAGTAAACTTGGTTTCTTACATATTTTTTCTTTATAGGTGAGAAACCTTACCAGTGTGATTTTAAAGACTGTGAGAGAAGGTTTTCTCGCTCGGACCAACTTAAGAGGCATCAAAGACGACACACAGGTGTGTAAAATCTCTGTACTACAAGGAACAACTTTTCTAGGCTCATACCTAATTCTGCCATTTTGGATTCAAACCGGTCAGCAGTAATTAAAATAGTTCATAGCTTGTCTTCATTCTGTTCCTGCTAAAAAAAAAAAACAATAAAAAGAACGAGAAATGTATTTAATGTTATTGTAGGAATTTGCTTGTTTCACTGCATTGACTTGCTGTGTATCAGTTGTGAAAAACATTGTGATGAATCTTCAGACTTTTCAGCCTTTACTCTCAATGGGGGATGAGTGAAGTCATTACATCGAAATTGAGTTTGCAGATTAAAGGATAGTAGGGTTTGGTTCCGCTTTAATTTTGGCAAAATTCACCTGTTATTGTCTCCAATGCATTTTAAAGTCAGCAAAACACTCAATTTGGTCATCATCATGAATATCACCAAGATTAAGACAAAAAAGACAATTAGAGGCAAATTTCGCCCAAATGAATTAACTTGATTTGAAAAAATTAGATGTGGTGGTTGCATTAGTTTTTCCCCTTTATTTTACATTGATTATTGTGTCAGTAATGTAATTACTGTCCTAGGGTGACAATACTACATATCAATGTACTGTATATATGGAGAAACAGCATTGTCACCCTAGGGCAGAACTCCAGAACACTTCCTCCTTATCTCAATAACATGGGGGAACTAGTTTGTATTCCAGCAGAGGTTACCCAGGCAAGGCTAATAACACTGCTTAAGACTGCAGTGAAAAGAGTGCACAGGAAGCAAATTAAAGAAGTTGGGTGTTGAGGTTTAAATATACTATAAGTCCTCTAAATCTGTTTTCAGGTGTGAAACCCTTCCAGTGTAAAACGTGCCAGAGAAAGTTCTCGCGGTCTGACCACCTAAAGACACATACCAGGACTCATACAGGTAAAACAAGTGCGTAAACCTTTATTCACATTTATATTTTCTTGAATTTTCCTGCTGCTTGTAAATACAGTGTTCACTGAATATATAAAAATGTGTCTGATAAAAATATATTAATATAATACTTACAGAAGTTATCAAAGGGACAATTACATGCTTTCATTAGTGGACCCTATTCATATGATATATGGCTTCTACGTACTTATCAGTCCCTGGAATCTTGCTGTTTCTGGGCAAACAGGAGTGTACATTAGTGTTTCCCACATACTTGCTATACAGTCATATTAAGCATTGGTCTGGTAGCAATTCTGGGGACTAAAGGGCAGAGATACCATAAGCGGGGTGACTAAAGAATCATTTAGGTGATTTGATAATCCAGGTTTTAAGAAAAACTAAAATATCCGTTTTTGGTGGACTAATATTTAAATATATCCCAATCCAAAACTCCACTTCCTCTTTCCCTACTCTATCTACAAAAAAGTCTTCAGCTTTAGACATACTTTATTTGGTATGTTGATTTCTACACCTAGAGCTTGTGTATTAAAAAAAAAAAGTATCCTGATCTCTAACTTCAACTTGACTTTTAACCTACACTTTAAAGCAGATCTTCCCTGAAAATGAAAGATTCACTTTACAGTCAATTGTTCATCACCTAAGCATTAATAGTTTGAAAACTTTTTAAAAAACGTTTTTACAAAAAAAATAAATGACCCTGGTCGCAGCTTTTGATATTTTCTGAAGGTGTGGGTGAAGTCATCTGATTTCACTGCTGCCTCCCTGAAAAGGTGGAGACTTGAAATCCCTGAAGGTTAGGCTGCAGTCCATTTCTGGAGTCTGTGGTTATAGGCTTTCAAGCACCTAGCAGTAGACCAACGGGAGAAGAAAACTCAACTATTAAAAATAATTTATATGCTCATCCCCAAAATTTACTGTCTTAAATTTCCACACATTTAGGATATATTTTTGCTGTCCAGGACCAGTTCTTTTACATAAAATTGTTTGTTTCGACAACAAATGTTAAAACTGGTCCATGGCACCATACAGATTGCACATTATCACTTTCTTTCTAGAACACATAGAAATAAGGATTTTTTCAGATGCCAACAATCCAAGAGCATCTGGCATGCTTTTTCATAGCACTACATATCAAGCAAACATGTCATAATCATTCATATCAGACAACATTCATTTAATCTACACAGACACATTTAGCCATGTGCCTCCTTTGTCTTTTTTGTGCATTCATGCTGATAAAGTTTTCTTTCATGATAACTGGACATTTCTGTGTCAACAGGTGAAAAGCCTTTCAGTTGTAGATGGCCCAGCTGTCAGAAGAAGTTCGCCAGGTCAGACGAATTGGTCCGCCATCACAACATGCACCAGAGAAATATGACCAAGCTACAACTGGCTCTTTAGGTGACAGGGCCAAGGACCCCTGTGGACTTAAACCTCTATACATTATATATAAAAGCTTCCAAAACAACCAACTGGAGGGCTCCTGGCATGTTACAGGAGAAGTGGGATTCTATACAGCCATTATATGAGAGACAGGTTGTAAAGAAGGTTCTGCTAATTGGTGGGACAAATTCTCTAGTGAATGGCTGTGTTTGGCCTCGTTATCTCTGTGCTGTTTGTTAATTATTTAACCAGTGAGGATGTGATGCTGTATGCAGCATGAAAAACAAATGTGTATTGGTTGTCTCATGTCATGGTGTGATATCAAAGCCACCACTTTTTCCCAGTGAATTACAAAACATTGATGCTGTTCGTAGTTTCAACTGCACGGGCTTCGCCTAACACAATGGTGAATATAAAGGGAAAATTAATTATTACAAACCTGTAAACAATTTTGAAGAATGTCTTAATATGTCATAGACATAGTATTTCAGTGGTCTCCAAATATCTCAAACCTTTGGAATAGGCAGAGAATTGGTCTTATTTAATATCATCTGCATTCTATAAAAACCATGCCATTAGATTTGTAAGACTATCCTCGTTATGAGCTTCCAAATGATGGTGTACTTGTTGTTGTTGCATTGGCACAAAGTTATCAGAACATGAAAGTGTACATGTGTAAAGCAGATTTTCAGCCTTCCCCCTTTTTTAAAAAAATACTCCTAATTACCTGGTGGTGAGTTCTGCACAGTTCAGATACTCGCCCACCCAGCGGATCCACCTGAGATCATGTTTTGTTCTGACATCATCAAAAGGCTGCTACTATTCTGGGTTCAGCCAACGTGCCTCTCGATGACGCCCTGCTGGGCCTGCCCCCTCCATCTTTACTAAATGGAAGGCTTTGCCTCCTGAGATATGTGACCCATATCTCAGGAGGCAAAGGGGGAACAGTGCACATCATTTCCCTAGGTGAAGAGCCACTTTAAAGTGGATCAATAACTGAATTCATGCTTTTAGCACATTCAATGATTTCTTATGGCAGTAGTCATATAAAAAAAAACTAAATCATGATTCATCTTAGCTTTAAACATCATCTTAGCTCTAATACACCCCCCTGCCTTTCAATCTACCCCAGCCCTATCGTTACATCTTAACTCTTGCAATAATGCTCAGCCTAACCTAAACCTTTTATGCCTGTGTCTTGCCCCAAGCCAAACATTATAATTATGCATGAATTTTAAAATATTGGAACAGTAATAGAATACTCAGAAATCACCAAAAATACGTGCCACATTGTATAATTCATGGTCTGTGATGATAACATACAGTCAGGTCCATAAAGATTGGGATATCGACACAATTCTAACATTTTTGGCTCTATACACCACCACAATGGATTTGAAATGAAACGAACAAGATGTGCTTTAACTGCAGACTGACAGCTTTAATTTGAGGGTATTTACATCCAAAATCAGGTGAACGGTGTAGGAATTACGACAGTTTGCATATGTGCCTCCCACTTGTTAAGGGAACAAAAGTAATGGGATAATTGGCTTCTCAGCTGTTCCATAGCCAGGTGTGTGTTATTCCCTCATTATCCCAATTACAATGAGCAGATAGAAGGTCCAGAGTTCATTTCAAGTGTGCTATTTGCATTTGGAATCTGTTGCTGTCAACTCTCAAGATGAGATCCAAAGAGCTGTCACTATCAGTGAAGCAAGCCATCATTAGGCTGAAAAAACAAAACAAACCCATCAGAGAGATAGCAAAAACATTAGGCGTGGCCAAAACAACTGTTTGGAACATTCTTAAAAAGAAGGAACGCTCCGGTGAGCTCAGCAACACCAAAAGATCCGGAAGACGACGGAAAACAACTGTGGTGGATGACCGAAGAATTCTTTCCCTGGTGAAGAAAACACCCTTCACAACAGTTGGCCAGGTCAAGAACACTCTCCAGGAGGTAGCTGTATGTGTGTCAAAGTCAACAATCAAGAGAAGACTTCACCAGAGTGAATACAGAGGGTTCACCACAAGCTGTAAACCATTGGTGAGCCTCAAAAACAGGAAGGCCAGATTAGAGTTTGCCAAACGACATCTAAAAAAAGCCTTCACAGTTCTGGAACAACATCCTATGGACAGGTGAGACCAAGATCAACTTGTACCAGAGTGATGGGAAGAGAAGAGTATGGAGAAGGAAAGGAGCTGCTCATGATCCTAAGCATACCACCTCATCAGTGAAGCATGGTGGTGGTAGTGTCATGGCGTGGGCATGTATGGCTGCCAATGGAACTGGTTCTCTTGTATTTATTGATGATGTGACTGCTGACAAAAGCAGCAGGATGAATTCTGAAGTGTTTCAGGAATATTATCTGCTCATATTCAGCCAGATGCTTCAGAACTCATTGGACGCCGCTTCACAGTGCAGATGGACAATGACCCAAAGCATACTGCAAAAGCAACCAAAGAGTTTTTTAAGGGAAAGAAGTGGAATGTAATGCAATGGCCAAGTCAATCACCTGACCTGAATCCGATTGAGCATGCATTTCACTTGCTGAAGACAAAACTGAAGGGAAAATGCCCCAAGAACAAGCAGGAACTGAAGACAGTTGCAGTAGAAGCCTGGCAGAGCATCACCAGGGATGAAACCCAGCGTCTGGTGATGTCTATGCGGTCCAGACTTCAGGCTGTAATTGACTGCAAAGGATTTGCAACCAAATATTAAAAAGTGAAAGTTTGATTTATGATTATTATTCTGTCCCATTACTTTTGGTCCCTTAACAAGTGGGAGGCACATATGCAAACTGTTGTAATTCCTACACCGTTCACCTGATTTGGATGTAAATGCCCTCAAATTAAAGCTGACAGTCTGCAGTTAAAGCACATCTTGTTTGTTTCATTTCAAATCCATTGTGGTGGTGTATAGAGCCAAAAATGTTAGAATTGTGTCGATGTCCCAATATTTATGGACCTGACAGTAAATGGGTGGCCCAATGGTTTAGAAGACCAGAGTAGCAAAGCCAGCTTTGAAAAATGAAAGGAGAAGGGAAGGATTAACAACTGATCTTTTAAAGCAAGGAAGGTGAGGTGTAGAAATGGGATCAGAAAACCTAGATCCTTTATAGAGTTACATCCTTGTTATCAGTTGAAGAAGCTGCTAAGTTTTGACAATATTTAGGGGTACAAATAAAAATCTTTTTTTCACAAGATTCACACAGCTCTCACCTAGAATTTATATATTTTCTAGATTGGTTCATTTGAAAAATGTGTGAATCACGGGTAAAAGTTGTATGAAAAAATTTGTATATAGACTAAAGCAAATCTCTTTATTACTGAAGTGCAAACTGATCTTTTTTGCTCATGTTTGAGAAGAAAAAAGATTAAGCCATAGACGACAATTCTGAGATGCGAATTCACAAAAAAAGCCAAAATCTAGAAACAAAGATTTGTTTTAGATTTCTTCTACTGTTTTTCACTCATAATTCTTCTGTGATCTCCTCTCTGGCAGGAGGCCACAGACATTTCCTAGTTTCACCTGGAGTTTCAGTACAGCAATCAGTTATTTGACCTTCTTCCCCCATGGTCAGTACCCTCTACTGCCTCTCCACCCTCATGTACATGACTGCCGTCACCTGCATTGTTCTATTCTCACTGAATATTCAGACATTAGTGGAATGTTCTGAAATACCACGTCCTACATGACATACTGAGACATCAAAGGGATCAGTGTATTTCAATGATTGTCATGATCATTAAGTCAAATAGATTTATATGTTAAACCTCAGCATTTTTGGGTAACATATTTTACAATAACATAATCAAAATATTTGCATGTATGGCTGTTGGTTTCCTACACTGATTCTAAAAGAAAACTGATAATTAATTGTATTATGGATGGTGTGGTGAAGTTCATGCTGGGGCTGAAATTCTACATCATTTCAAACATGAAATCAACTTTTTTGGACAACTGCTGCTTTTTCCACCAGCCTTCTGTTACACTGTATGTAAGTAGTGGCTACTTACTTGCATTTAGGTCCTAGCAAATCTGTACTTTTTGTCACAAGTTCAGAGACCAAAATCACTACAGTATATTGACATTATGTGAAACAATCTAGTCACACCCTGCCCCAAATTATATGTTCCTTACATCTCAAGGCGTCATTAGAAGAGATAAATATCCCTGCTACAGACCTGTGTGTATGTGATAAGTAGATGCGCTCTTCACAATGTTAGCATCCATCCAACAATAAACAATGTCAGTTCTGCCCAGAGTCCATACATTGACATGATTAAATATTATGTATAGCCTATTTTATTATAGTTTTGTATACAGCAGGAAAAGGTTAGAACCCTGTCAAGTTTTTAATGCTGTCTATGTCCTTACTGGAGAGATTCACACTCTATTTGTCAGGGAGACCATTGCCATAGTGGAAAAAAGTGATGTGAAATCCAAAATGTTATAGTTGTCACTGGAACAGGAATAGAGGGACATCTTCCAATAGGGCAATTTGTTTCTGTGACACCTGTCTAAGATGGGATTTCCCCTTAATTTGAAGCCAATTTACTCTCCCTTCCTGGTTGTGTCACTAGAACAGAAAATGAAAAGAAATCTCCCCAAAGGGACACAGATAGGATTCAAGGGTTTTAATACTTCCCTACTTAATGAAAAACCTAAAAAGAAAGATTTTGTCTATATACATTTTTAATTCAAAGTACTGTGTTGAAATGGTTCTAATTTTCAATTCCTGATCAGTTTCAATCAATTTAAAGTTAAATGAAGTTTTGATTTGTTAAAGTTATCTAATACATTTCTAATACAGTTCCATGATGATGTGCAAAGTGCAGTTACCCAAGGTAACCAGATTCAGTTAAAGTGGAGTTCCACCCATTTATTTACTTTCCCTGTAACACAATGCACATCCTCTGAACAGTCCGTTTTGGCAATATATATATATATATATATATATATATATTTTTTTTTTCCTCTAAATACCTTATTTTCATTAATGCAGTCTCCACTTCCG